TGCTTGTACATATATTTTATACAATACAGCCAGACAATATGAGGCAGACTGTCCTAGAATATTGTTTTTAAAAAGACCTTAATCAGTAAGAAATTATAGCCTGAATTTCATCTTCAGACTCAAATTAAAGACAGATGTATTAATAGCATTAGTTCACTAGTTCATGACATGTGACAATAGCCTGCAATACCAAAAACTTCACAACCTCCCTGGGCAGCCTGTTCCAGTGTCTAACCACCCTCACAATAAAAAATTTCTTCCTAATATCTAACCTGAATTTTCCCTCTTTCAATTTGTACCCATTACTCCTTGATCTATCACTACCGTTCCTTATGTAGAGTCCCTCTCTGGCTTCCCTGTAGGCCCCCTTGAGATACTGGAAGGTTGCTATGAGGTCTCCACACAACCTTCTGTTCTCCAGGCTGAACAGCCCCAACTTTCTCAGCCTGTCTTGGCTGGAAAGGTGCTTCAGTCCTCTTATCAACTTCATGGCCCTCTGGACTTGCTCCAACAGTTCCATGTCCTTCTTATGTTGGGGGCACCAGAACTGTAAACAGTACTCCAGGTTAGGTCTCACAAGAGCAGAGTAGAGGAGGAGAATCACCTCCTTTGACCTGCTGGCCACGCTCCTTTCGATGCAGTCCAGGATGAGGTTGTCTTTGCCAGTTCATGTTGAGTTTTTCATCAACCATCATCCACAAGTCCTTCTCCACAGGGCTTCTCTCAATCACCTCTGCCCAACCTGTAAGTGTGTCTGGGATTGCTGTGCCCCAGGTGTAGGACCTTGCACTTTGCTTTGTTGAACTTCATGAGGTTTGCATCAGCCCAGTTCTCAAGCCTGTCAAGGTCCCTTCGGATGGCATCCCTTCCCTCCAGTGTGTCAACTGCACCACACAGCTTCGCGTCATCAGCAAACTTGCTGAGGGTGCACTCAATCCTGCTGTTCATGTTGCCAACAGAAATGTTGAACAGTAACAGTACTTTCAGTACTTTCCTCCCAGGTAGTGCCTGTATACTGAATATAATCTGTTACACTGCCCATTTCACTTCTTTCAGAGAAGTCAACCTATCATAACACCTATTAAAAGCAAACAGTAAATGATAGCAATAATATGGAACATCAATATATAGTTTTGAAAACAAAAGGAGCTCAGACTTTGTAGTAGATATATCCTATGCTGTCATGCTATGGTTTCTTTAATACCTGTATTTTGTTCTCCTTTTTTAAACACATCAACATCTACTTTCTTTGTAGAAGGTAGATATCTATCTGCGTAATTCCAGGAGTTCCCTGTATCATTTGCCTTCACAAATGGAACAAGCAGCAACCAGCATTTACAAGGCATGGACAGCCCAAATTTTGCATAGATTTTACTAGCACGGCAACAATAACTCAGAAGGAAACATGAGCAAGTTTAGCTAAACATCAGTTTAGCTTTCCTTCTGGGGTAACAAAACTCTTGGATGGAGGCATTGTTTTATTTTGTCATTTAGTTTACATGGGGAAAAGGAAAACTTTTTACAGAGAAAAGGCTAGCAGTTTCAGAAACTACTTTTTTGCCTAAAAACTCTTGGCACCAAAGGAAGTATATTTCTCACTTGTCCTCAGAGAGTGTTAATTGGACATGACTTAACATTTTCAAAATCTTCTTAGCTCAGCTATACTTACATTTTTATTAATTAGGACTTAAGTGGATGGTGCCTATGTTATCCATAAATTAGGTTTCTCGTTGGACTATAATTTTGCATTAATCATGGTTCAAATGTTTATTAGCCTTTCAATTTCTAAAGCATTTACAGAAATACCGACATGGTAAAGTTCAGTAGAACCATATGGCAATGCATTCATTGATCCTATGCTCACTAAAAATCTTGAATGCACTTAAATTAGGATTACATTTCATAAACAAATTTTCTTATGTAAAGATGGTTCAAATACAAACATCTTTAATAAATGCTAACAGAGTTCTAAACAGTGCCTTATTTACTTCAATTGCCACTGTCTTTGGAAGACCATGGATCAATATGTTCTTGGCAAAATTATAATATTTAACCAATATTTTCGCTAAAATCCATAATCCAAAATTCACTAAATCCAAATAGTTCACTAAAAAGGATCACTCACTAATTAGCATTCAAAGAAACATGGAAATTTTTTATTAAATATTAGGAAAAATATCTTTGCCATAAGGTTGGTCAAGCACTGGAACAGGTTGTCTAGAGAGCTTGTGAAGTCTTCATCCTTGGAGGAGTCTGAAATTCCCCTGGACAACCCAAGCCATGGGCAACGTCATCTAACTGGACCTGCTTTGGGCAGCAGGTCAGACCAGATGACCTCTGTGGGCTCCTTACCATCTAAGTTATTCTATGACCCCATGAATAAGCGCCAAAGAAGGCACTTCATTTCAATGCAACTATATTCACTGATGAATGCTACAAGACATCAAGCTTTAAGCAAATGCTCAATTGTTAAAAAAAACAAAAAATGCAGCCATTTTCTATTAAACTATCTGTTCTAGAACAAGCAGCAGTTACGAGTATTGAGGCCATGTTGCTGAGAACACAGCTGCATTGGGCAGGACACGTCTCCAGGATGAAGGACCACCGTCTCCCTAAGATCGTGCTTTATGGTGAACTTGCCACTGGCTGCCACAAGAGAGGAGCCCTGAAGAGAAGATACAAGGACTCCTTGAAACAACATCTCAGCCTTGGCCACATTGATCTTCATTACTGGTCTACTCTGGCCTCCAATCGGGAGGTCTGGAGACACATTATCTATAACGCTGCTGCTTCCTTTGAGAATGCACACAGGATCACTCTCGAGGAGAAAAGACAATGCAGAAAGAATCGTGTCTTGTCGATACCATCCAAGGAGTCTTTCTGCTGTGGCTTTTGCAACCAGACTTGTCTATCTGGCATTGGCCTCTTTAGCCACCAGCGTGCTTGTAGCAAATGTGGGTAGAGCCCTTCCCAAATCTTCATTCGCGTAGCCTAGCCATGATGATGATCTTTGTGTAACAGTGGTTATGTCTAATCTGTTTTAGTGTATTTTTATCTAATAAACAAATAGTAAAATGTCAGTGCAAAGGAAATAATCTGTGCTGTTATCTATATATGTATAACATAAATTGAGGCATTGAAACCAACTCCAGACAGCTACTCATTCTGTGTGGCCAGGCTCACCAGACACGCTTCAAATACAAGTTCATTATATGACAATTATAGACAAGTTCATCCTATGAGGAGCATCTATGGACTCTAGGTTTGTCTAGTTCAGAGAAAAGGAGGCTGAGGGGTAACCTTATTGCTCTCAACAGCTTCCTGAGGAGAGGAGAAGTGAAGAGTGAGGTGCTGATCTCCCTGATACCCTGTGACCCGATACATGGAAATGGTTCAAAGCTGTGCCAGGGAAGGTTCAGACTGGAAATTGGGAAACCTTTTGTAAAGAGGGTGGTTAAACACTGGAACAGGTTTCCTAGAGAGGTGGTCAATGCCTCAAGCCTGTGTTTAAGAGGTATTTGGACAATGCACTTTAAGTTTTGGTCAGCCCTGAACTGGTCAATTGGTCAGGCAGTGAGACTGGATTATGGCTGTAGGTCCCTTCCAACAATCCCTTCCACCTTCTCCTTGCCTCACCTCACCTCACCTCGCCTCTTCTTTTTTCTCTTCCCACAAACCCACAAATTTAAACAATCCAGTGAAAGACAGACTAAGCAGCATATTGTTCATAGCCCTTAGGTGTCAACTGTGAGTGAAGTTGGCATTTGCATACACAAAAGCTCAGAAATCAAGCTTTCTACAAAAGTCACACTGTTGGCCACCCTTCCCTCTCTCTCTCTGCATTAATATCTACATGTCTCTTTCTCTGCAAAGGCCGTACTGGTTGTAATAGTAACTTTTTATTCTCACACTGTTCAAATGTGCACGACGGTCACCAATTCTCCATTCATAATCCTGTGTCCTTATCTTCACCTGCTTAATAGACATCTCTGAAGAAGAAAGCATAGGTGGCAGCTAGAAATAGTACTTCACAGTAGATTACTTGGGCTTTATACAGTCCATGAAGATTTTCTCATAACTATCTTATTTCAGTGATTTTCTAAATATTAATATTAATGACACTTTAAATTTTACTATTAATATTCTTTAAGTATGATGAATAATATTTCAGCTTGGAAGTGAACAAAAAATGCTATCTGCAAACTCAGAAAAACTTCAAGAGCTTAAGTACAGCATCAGATGTCTCTGGAGTCACCAGACCTTTCAGAAGTGAAAAGCAAGGATAACACTGGTCATCTATTCTGTGCCATAGTGACATAATTGCATTGTCAATAAGGTCTGTAGGTGGATTTTCTATATGGAAGCTGATTTCTATCTTTTTGTAGAAGACTGGAAACAATTAGTAAAATAATGGTACAAAATAATGATTACTGAAAAATTCTGCAGTTTTGCAGCCTGCAATATTGTATCTACTTACACAAATTAGCCCAGTAACAACAGCAGACATATAACAGAAGCATTTGTTTACCAACATGGATTATATTAAGGAAAAAACATTCAAAGCAAGATAACTTTCTCATTTAGCTCACAGTAAGACATATGTTCTTATTTAAGTAGCCACACAAGAACACATCCAGCCTTCTGAAACGAAAATCTAAATTCTAACTCCATATACGGACCAAGAGACATTTACAAAATATTCTTCCTAATGTATATTTTGCTTTTTATTCCTTCCATTTTTTATACCAATGCAATGAAACTATCTATTTCTTACTAGTAGACCTTATTAGGCATGCTGGCATTATATTTTGGGGTGATTAAATATGCAGTAAAGCTGAATCTTTGTCAATCTGTCTTTTCAGTTTATATGCCATAATGTTGCCTGCAGTTAAAAACAATCATAGTGAGAAGAGCTGGTAAACTGAAAAACAAATACCAAATGTCATTAGCAGAAATGCAGATCACTTGAAGCACACATAGAATACTGTTAAAATGCTTACCTTAACTATCCCACGGATGTGCATTTTTGCTATCATCTCTGCAGTGTAAAGAAACATCAACAAAGTATCAAGAGCAAATGTCACATACTGGAGAGGCGGATAATGCTCGAAGGTCTTTGGAGTGTTCATACAAACAGAAATAACACTGATGATGGCACAGATTCGTAGTAAAGAGTGTACCCACTGAAAAAAAAACAAAACCAAACAAAACAACCAAACACAAGATATTGCAAGATTGTTTGGATCTTTAAAAAAAGCTCAAATATTTAGCCTCCATAACTTATATTGGCACCTTCTGTAAATGCACATCTGTGTTCTTTTACGTCATGATCCACATATTAAAGGTCTTTAACCACAAACAAGCACTCCTAAATTATTTATAATTATATATGCATATAAAGAATTTTATTAGGTAATTTGTGAGGTTGTATAATTCAGAAACCAAGAATTAAGAACCATGAAACTGAGAATTAGGATTCCACCATTTCTACTTTGCAGCATTTGTAATTCAATTTCTTTTCAAATGACAGCTTGCCACATTTATGGGCAGACAATAAGTAGAACTAGTTGAAGTTATAAATTGGGTAAATACATTAAATGAAAATATCTGTCGACAATTTTAGTTCAACACTGAGAAGAAATTATTTTTAAATCAATTTACAACTCCAAAAATTAAGTGAGAGGCACAGGATTAAAAGCATCCTTCCATTTATGAAAAGAATAAATATAAAAAAGGCTATGTCACAGAAAGCTACTTCTTAAGATCAGGATTCACTTTTGTTCCAATCAAGTTTTGTTGCTATAAGAGAACAGTTAATTTCTCTTACTACTTAGGTCTCAGACACTCCTTATTAATAAAAGGTTGATATTCAATGCCAGTTAGAGAGGGAAGTGTAACAAAAAAAGTAGAATATATTAATACAAGGGTTTAAGGTTGGATTTTTTTTCTTTTAAATCAAAACAGCTTGAAGCCACACAAGTGTAATGAATCAGAGTTGGTAAGGTCATACCTATCAAAACAAGAAGTTCTTTTCAGCAAGAAAAAACTCCAAACAAAAAATATTGAAAGGTATTTTTAAAATTTTTCCATCTGGGGAAAAATCTGACACTCATTTACAGCACTTCAGATATTCTGATATACAGAAGACTTAATAGGCACCTAATTTAATACTCACTGTTCGCTCACCTAAGTGTAATGATATTTGACCTGAATTGAATAGCTCTATCATTTGCATACTCAGCCCAGATTAATAATCTGGAAGTGGAAGGCACCCAACGAAGATCTCTAATGTCCCTTTAACATCTACTTTGCTTTGAACCTTGTTTCAACTGAGAAAATTAACATAAATATTAAAGTGTGGCTGATATCAAACTCGTTCTCTGCTGCAGTAAAAGGTCAGTATTACAAGCCCTAAGTAATATACAACTAGTTCATCAGCATGACAATAAAAAAATTATTCCATAAAAACCTCATGTATTGTGTGATGAGAAACATGTGTAAATAACCCAGCATATATTTCTGCAATGACATTTTGAGCTTTTTACAGCAGTCAATACAAACATTCTACTTAAAACTATTTAGCATTAATAAATACAAGGGTGTTGTCTTGTAGATGATTTAGGTGTCAAAACTCAGCAGCAAAGCTGAAAGGATCTAGCATTCATACTGCAAATGAGATGATAGTTCCATAAAATGCATGCAATGCCAAAAACAGGTATTATTTCAGAATATTTTACTTTCTGCTTTTAAAAAGTAAAAATTTATACACTACTTTAAGAGAAATGTGAAAATTCCTTCTCTACAAAAACACAAATCATTCACCATATAGGAATCCCAGATGCATGCTGACTGCTGAATAATTTAATCATAAAAAACGTATTTACACAGGAAAGACATTTTCTTAATACTGCATCATCCATTATTAACTCCACTCCTAATGAAATATTCCCCAGTTTCAAGCTGTCAGACACTTTTCCACCTATCTATTTCTTATGGCAGATTATAAGGAAATGATATCAGAAAAATGAGAGTTGTACTTCAAAATAAACAGCCAAAATACACTTCTATTATGATATATATGATGTAAAAGGAGAGATTTGAAAGTCAAAAGTGTTGACTGCTGGCTACCACTTGAGCAGTGAAATGCTCCTTTTAACATCCTTTTCAAAAGCACAGTTTATGAACTTCTAATTTCAACAACCATGTTAGGAACCAGAGACATTGAAAGGATGGCTGTTTTAAAAGAATCAATCAGTAGATGAACAGGTTGGAAAACACTGCTTGATCATCCCATCATTTTGCAACAGCCAAAAGAAACTTGTTTTTTAGTTTTGGACTTTCTTCAAAAAATAACTGGTAGATTAGCAACTATAGCTCAATATTTGTTTCTGACAAATATTTAATTCAGAATCTTTTGTGGAAGTCATATTTCAACAATACAAGATACATTTAACTTAAAATCAGTAACTACAGAAAGAGATACCCACTGGTTTGTTAATCCATAGAATATCTGCGTTGTCTGACAAAGATTCATCAGGACCAAAATCTGTAACTGGCTGGGCTTCCACCCTCGAACTTTGTTTCCTTTTTAGCATCCTGAAGTTAACTTTTGTTATCTACAATCATGAAACCTCCTTCGGGAGAAAAAGACAGCAAACATTAATTCACTAAAACCATTTTATAATGCATTTTGAACGGTTTTATAAATAACCTAAAGCATTTTATTTTCATGCAAACTGCTTTTGTATTTACTGATTAACAGGATATTCATTTGATTAAATATAAATCACTGACATGACTCTCATTATGTTACAAAAAATTTACACAAAGGTATGTAACACAAACAATTACCAGAAACTTAGCAAAGCTGACAGAAAATTTGTACCAATATGCAAAGAATGCTATTGCTGTGAACTTCAACACAGAGTAATCACTGGATGGATTTGACCTGAAGCCATTTAATTAAATGGTGACATTTCCATTTATTACACTAGGCTAAGATAAATCCCAACATGCCAAAGGCAAACAGGCAATGTTAAGCCCCCAGCACATATTAATGTTCTTTACTGAAATCGGAAGAGCCTTTTTGCTATATACTACTATTAACATGTATTTTTCTAATACTTTTTTTAATGTTAGCAATTATCTATCCAACACCTAGACAGATGGCTGTCTCTGGGGCTTGTGCTGGCACGCAGAAGCACTGAGGAAAATGTGTTGTTTGCACGGAGTCAGGCCAAATCTGGACATTCCTGCATGGGTGGCACTGACTGAGACTTCTACATGCTCAGTGATGTGAGCCACAACTAAGAGACACAACAAGAGAGCAGAAAGGTGAGTTAGATCTTATTAGTCCTCGATTAGTTGGAGGCAATAGTTGACTTAGGACTGCAGAAGTCCCGTGTGCTTGGTCTCAGCTGGCCTTTTCAATGACATGGGCTCCTGCTTCATGTCCAAACACTATGCATGCATCCTTGGCTGTCTTGTCTTTTAGCTGTTATGGCAAATGTAAACTATTACACTTATTCCAAGTCCCTCAGAGTCTACCCCTACTCTGTTTTCTCTCTTTCAGATTCAAGAGGACAGCTCCTGTGTCTCTAAAAGCAAGTCTGAACCATTGGTCTCTGTTTGCACAAACCACACAGCAACAGGGCTGAGGTCTTGTACTAACATACCCAGGTAGAGCAGCTGACATTATGCGATGATTGGTTTTTTTAAAATAAACAGAAATAACACAAAAGCACAAAATAAGGGACAACTTCTGACATCTATATTCATCTGGTCATTCACACCACCCTTAGTACAAGTGAAGCTGGTAAGCTGTCACTAAAACCATGCAAATGCTGTAAAATGAACATTACAAATTAATAATCTTTCTCTAACAAATGAAGACTGAAATAATATTCACAGAGGTTGTAGGTTATCTTAGTCTTCATGCTCAAACTTCGTGCTCCCACCTCTATCATAACTGAATTCACTGAATTCCTTCTCTTTAGCAATTTTTTTCCACTTTCTCTTATTTCTTTCTAAGCCTGATATATTGACCTTTTTTCTCTACTTGGACCAAAGCATAACTAGAAATGCTTGAAGCCTCAACGATGCTGGTGTGCTTTTTGAAGTCATGAAACTTTAAAATGGCTACATTTAACACAGTGATAAGAAGTCATTGCAATGCCTTGGGAGATGCATTTCCCAAAACCTTAGGGAAAAAAAAGACACTGTTTAAAATGTTTCTTGCAAATATGTTTTTTGGAAATTGTTACTCGAAAGCTAATCAGTGAATTAACAAAATAATAATTTTATGTTTACTATTTCTGGTAATGGCTATGACTGTGCTCCTAAGCTTTTAAGAAAATATGCAGCAATAAATAGAGAATTAATAAGATAAGCTCAATCAGTTATTATGAGAAAAGGCTCAGGATGAAACACTGATTTTTGTTTAGCCACTACCGATTTTTTTTTTTAAATAAATGACACTCTAAATAACAAGCTATGTCCATTTAGGGAAAAAAGTAGATAATTATCAACTGTCTTTCAGCAAGGCTCTGTTGTTTTTATGCTTTTCTCAATACCGCTTATTCATACATCTCATGTGTAGGAAGATTAGCCATGTCCTTCTAATGAAATTCCCATTTTTCCTTTTATCCCGTGCCTCTTTGTTCAAGGTTTTTTTTTTTAATTGGTCCAGGTACAGAAAATAATGTGAACTTAAATGCTCATAATGGATGTCCATAATGAATTCAGTTCACATACTTAAATGTTGTGACTAAAGAGATTAGAATTCTTACTTTTAAGAGGAAGCCTTGAATAAACAACTCTTCATGTATCTAAACCTAGTGGATGGAAGGGAAGGCAACGTTTATGGAATATAAGAATCAGCTTGTCTACTTCTCTACTTGGAATGACCAGAAATGCACACAAAAAAATGCAGAATAAAGGCGACAAGCCAAGAATATCATGGAAATGGTCTTCAGCAAGATTATTCAAAGTATAGCAAGGTTGCTTTCAAGCTTTTATGCATTTTTATTGTTCTCACTACTATTGTTTTACCAGGGAACGCACAGGCTTTTCCATGTGTCTGTTGCTGTAGAGCAACATAAAGCCTAGTACAGCTTCAGGACTCTGCCATGTATGTAAAGAATTTTAACCCTTGGACTAAAATCCCTTTTGCACTTGTTACTGCAAGGAGGAACCCGCTGAAAGATGAAGAGAAGGGCTGCTGTGCACAAACTCCTTCCAGCATGTGACACGCAGTGAGCACCACACCAAGCTGTGCTAATGGGGAGGCTGTAGTCCTCCCTAACCCTGACTACAAATCCACCCCTGCAGTTCCTGCATTGATTTTGGCACACATCATTAGGTCTTTCTTTGATCACAACCTGTTATTAATGTGAAAGGCTTAATACATTCCCTAGCATGTACTTCCAGTTCCAGTGTTTTTTAAGACATACTGGGTGCAGGGAAAACACAGGCTTGAGAGAGGAAAATATCACAAAGTTTTGGGGCTACAATCACTTCACATTTCTTTGGAGTACTGAGTCTCATTTATAAAGCAAGCTCACTGTATACAGCATAATCTGCTCAAAAGATCTCCATCACAAAGTCAAGAGAACATGCTTATAAATGCTCTGGCTGACAAAGAAGGCAGTTGAAAAATGACTTCACAGAAATATAAACAGCAAAATAAAGCAGATATTCCTACCTACAATTTATGGAGTTTGAAAATCAGAAAAATCCTTGAAATCAGCAATGTCTGGCTTCCAACATAACTTCTTTCTCACTGCTGATTGACTTGGTCACGTGAGATCACGTGAGCACTACGTGAAGGTCCTCCTAAGGCAGGCCACATACAAGCACTCTCCTCAACACCAGCTCTCTCTCTGAAATGTCAACTCCCCTTCCAACTTCACCCAGAGCAGGGACAGAGAAAGTGGCACATAACACTTCAAGACAATAACTACAAATGTGAAAGCTAAAAGGGGTGGTAGAAGAGGATGTGAACACCCATACACATAGCATGATGACAAAACCCCATTTCCATACTATATGCTAAAAAAGCCTCAAACTACAGGCCACCTTAAGGAAATTGATTGCTCTTAACTGTAGTATGCATTATATGGTTATAGGAAAAATATAAGTTCTCATTCTTTCATCTCAATAGCCATCACCTTTCCCTCTTTACCAATTGTCCCTGTTTCTATATTGCCTGCTCCCTCTATCCCTACGTTCTTCCATCCCTGATTTTGGGTGCAGGTACAAGTAAACGGCATTTCATTATTTGTTTTCATGTAGAAAAAAAATTGAAGTGAGCAAGTTACATATGTGACAGTATATTTATTTTAGAAGGGCAAACACAAAATTCTAGTGGATACAATCACATAGCACATGCCACCACGGATGCCATTAACTCATACCTAATTTTAAGGAAGAACTTATTTCAGTACTTTTCCTCTCTGTGTGGTATTGTTATTGCATCTGATGAATGATCTCTTCATTATTTTGTACACGACATACTGTTAACCAAACTTTAGTGTTTATTAAAAACAAACCTGGTTCTTCACAAAGACGGTATACTGAAGAAATATCCTAAAAATCAGTTACATTCACATTTTCAAATCATTTGGATACAGGTAGGAAAGAACAACTGGTGATATCTTGTACTTAGTAACAGAATCCCAGACTAAAAAATACAAGAACTGGGGTTCACAACTGAGGAAGGTTTAACAATTGCTTACGGTTGCCAATGTAATAACATCTAGTCTGAAAATACACAGATGTTCAGACTTCAGCTCTTTGCTCCCAACACATCTCCTGTGTCTTGCCTTATTATCAACTAAGGACAATGCTCTCAAAGTATTTACTTCTTACATATAAGTTCTTCCATTCAGACACAGCCAAAATAATTCAGAACTATTGAGCAGACAGAAGCAAATTATCACATTGTATACAGAGGCAGATCCCTTGTGAGTCAGATATAAAGTCTACCTCTATTGTCACATGATGTATCACAAGTCCTTTTCACTACAGGCCTTCTAACATCCAGAATATACAATACCAAAGACTCTACACATGCATATACATGGTGCCATGATGCAGTCAGAAAATGAACTTCTTAATTTTAAATAGAATTGCTTAGCTTTTTTATATTTTTCTATTAAAAAATTTGGTTGTGTCAAAAAAAAAGGCAAAACAACTGTAGATGATTTTTCAGTTGGTGCTGGTAGATCACACCATGGCACATTCCACCACACTTCTTTTATATACAATGGCCTGAAGTTGTGTCAGGGGAGGTTCAGGTTGGATATTAGAAAAAGGTTTTTCACCCTAAGGGTGGTTGGGTGTTGAAAGAGGCTCCCCAGGGAAGTGGTTACAGCACCAAGTCCAACAGAGTTCAATAAAGCATTTGGACAATACTCTCTGGTACATGGTGTGACTCTTGGGGCTGATCCTGTGCGGGTCAGGAGTTGCACTTGATGATCCTCGTGGGTCCCTTCCTACTCAGCGTATGCTGCGATTCTGTGAATGCACAGTAATTATATGTAGAGAATATACTGATGGTAATTTATTTCCTTTATGGATATATAGCAGCTTAACAGCTATCTTACTGCAAAAGTTCACTTCAACTGTGGGCTGCCTACCCACCACTTGCTGCCCTAGGATTGGTCTACTGCAATATAGCCTATATAAATATCCTTAAGAG